CTGCTGCTCCCCTCAGCAGTGTACTTCGTCAGTCAGTCTGTTCTGCTCCCCACTGTCTCTGGTGAATCCTCTCACTGCCCCTGCACCTCTTGGCCTGTACCCTAGTTCTGTATGAATAAATAAAAAATCCATTTAAAAAAAAAAAAAAGATCCTGAACTAGTAGAAATACTAGGTTGACTAAATGAAGGGGAAACCGCCCCCCCCCAAAGTCCCTGTGTGTCTCCCTCACACAGGGCTCCCTGGGCTACCTGGTGCCTCAGACATTCCCTCCTCTGTCACTCCCTGGGGATGCTGACTTCTTTGGGGTCTCCTGTGTCCCCAGAGCTATCAGCTAATTTTTCTGGGTATAAGTAATCTCCACCCTGGTCTCAGGGGAAGGACCAGGCTCATGGGTGTGGGCTTGGCTGGTGACCTGCTCAGGAGTCTCCAGACTCAGGTTTCTAGAAATTCCTGCAGCTCCATCTCCGTGAGTCCCCCCGAGACAGGGACTCTTCAGGGTCATGGGGTTGGGAGCCCTGGGAAGGGGGCCGGTCAGGGGCTTTCTGGGGTGGAGCTTCTCTGTGAGGATCCAGGGGTCTCCAGGATAGGCCCCAACGACAAATGACGACATCAACGATGTCTTTTGGGATCATGGGAAAAGGCCCAGGGCTGAAACTGACCCCCTCTGCTGCTTTACTCTCATCAGGAATGTCTTCTGCAGGGAATGTGGCAGGAGTTCCCATCATCACTTGTTCCCTCTGCTTGGTGTGTCCTGCACTCAATGCTCAACCACCAACATGACACATAATTCAGAGAGGATGGAGGAAGAGCCTGCCCTGTCAGTCCTCTGTGTGGGAAACAGCAGTTATGAGACAGAAGTTACATTCTGATTCCCTCCCACTGCAAATTCCAGAGGTTCAGGTAAGAATTACTCACTGTGAGGCCCTCCCTGGTGGTGCAACGGGTTAGAGCACAGCACTATGAAGCTAACACGGCCATTGCAGCATGAGTTCAATCCCCGGCCAGGGAGTTGACCCACATGGTGCAGCAGACCACTTCTGTCTCCCTGCTGCTCCCCTCAGCAGTGTTATTTCAGCCTGTTCTGCTCCCCACTCTGTCTCTGGTGAATCCTCTTACCATCCCTGCACCTCTGGCAGAATCACATCCTTCCCCTCAGTAGTATTGAGAAGCTCTGATTTAATAGTGGGCTGGGCAGAGCTGGGCGGGATCCAGAAGGCTAAGAGTGAGGCTGGGAGGGAAGGGAGAGACACTGATCAATGGTGGGCCTATTGTATTGTCATGGAAATGTGAGGCTTGGAGACTAAGGATGTTTAAACCCTTAGTTTTATGGGGTGTTTGTGTTTTACCAGTTTTAGCAACATAACCCCTACTTCAGCCCCTCTCACTGCACCTTGCCTTCCCTGTTTGAATGCTCATGCCCAAGTGTGTGCCCGGCTCACCCCCTCCCCACCCTCAGACCCTGCTCTCCCTCGGGGCGTCCCTGGGAGATGCCTCCCTGACCCTGCTCTGAGACCCTCGGCCTCACGGTGTGACCTTTCCCTGCTCTGTGCCCTTCAGGACACTGGTCAGCACGTGGCAGCATGTTCCAGCTCTTTTTATTCTTATTTATTTGTGCATACAGAACTGGGGTGCAAGCTAGGGGTGCATCAGAGACAGCAGAATGGGGAGCAGAACAGGCAGATTGATGAAGTACACTGCTAAGGGGAGCAGTAGGCTGGTCAGGAGAGGTCTGCTGCACCCTGTGGGTCACCTCTGGGGTGGGGATCGAACTCGAGCTGAAGCAGTTGCGCTACCTTGCAGTGCTGTGTCCTAACCTGTTGTGCCACCAGGGAAGGCCATGTTCCAGCTCTTTGTTTTCTTCTTCCTCCCTACAGTACTTAGCTCCTTGAGGCAGGGACTTGTTTCATCTTGTTGCCCCTCTGTGGAGGGACAGACACCCAGACCCTGTGGGTGAATGAGTGAGTGTCCCCAGGGCCTCCTCGTCCTGGTGTTTATTTTCCATGTGAGGCAAGTAAATTGTTTTGTGCTGTTTTTATTTTATTGTTACTTGACCTCTTGACATAAATTGTTATTACTGTCATCAGTTTTCAAAAATTATTGCTCAGGGATGAATCACCTTGAAAACAGCTGAGGTCTCCTGTCCTCACCCCTCAGGTCACGAGAATTTCCTGTTGTGCGAAGTAGCGACCTTGCTCCCTGCTCTGCTCCCCCTCCGCCTCCAGGTCCAGACAGAAGCCCTCTGGCCCCTCTCAGACCCTGTCCTCCCCGGGGGCCCCAGACAGTGTCAGTTCTATCTACCTCAGGAATCATGAACGGCCCCTCTCACCTGCCAGCAGCAGCCCCATCCAGGGGACGCGCCCTCTGTGTCCATGGGCTGGGGGCGCCTCCATGGTGTCTGCTGCCTGCTCACTGCTCTCGGAGAAGAGCTGGGGCTCCAGAAGGCTCCAGGCACCGCTGCTCCCAAGTGTCAGGCTGAGGAGCTTCTTCCTCTGTGCTGGGCCTCCCTGTGGCTGGAGCTTTTAGGCTGCTCAAGTGACCTGGGGTGGGTCTCTGCCCTGGACCCTCCCTTTCGCCCCATTCTTCCTTCTCAAGTCCCCTTCTGACCATTTCCCCTTGGCCTACATTTGGGCTCTTCAGAAACTCCTGTACTTCTGCCTTCTTTAAATTGAGCTCTTCTCTTTTTTGAAGGAGATGTTTATCATTTTTTTGTACACAATACTCAAGAACACACCTTCAGCCCAGATAGGTGGCGAATTCTCTAGCCTTTGCCTTTTCCAGCTTGGCAATGTGAACCACAGAATTTGGGCCCCGGTAGTTGGTAGTTGCCTCCCCGGCCCTCCCCGGTGAGGCCCAATCTCCTTGTATTTGTCATTGTAATTATTCCTGATTGCTTTCACCAGCTTAGCCGGGTTCTTTGTCTTCTGAGTGGGCCTGTGCTAAGGTGAGGGTGGTAGAAGTCTCCCCCTGATCATGCCTGAGGAACTCCAATATTCCGACACCGGGTATGCTGGCTCATGGGGTCCAGCTCACGCGCGATCACCAGCAGCTCCACCAGCCTGTTCTGCACCCCAGTGGTGACGGTAATAACCCTGCTGGGATATTCCAGGAAACAAACGTGATGGACTAAACGTCCTCACCTGTGTGCTGAAAAAAAAAACTCGGACAAGATCCAAGGGCATGCACACACAGAAAGGTCAAAAGGCTTCTTTACAAGGGAAATGAGAAGAGGGGGACGGAGACACGAAGAGCAAGCGATAGGTCCTGCCAGTAACTTGTCTTGAGTTGGGGGGTTAACTCCACCCCTAACTCCCAGCATGCCCCTTCAGGAAGCCAGGCGGCGGGGCACGTGCACGGCATGCTGGGAGTTGTAGTCCTCGGCGCCTGGAATGGTAGGACGCTGGCAGAGAGGTGGCGGTGAAGTCCGTTAAACATTGGTGGGTGGCTTTCATTCAGGACATACGATTCCCCCAACAGAGCGATAGGTGGACACTGTTTGGGGCCATTCACTTTGCCAGCAGCTTTCCTTTCAGCCCTGTCCAACAACCTCTGCTTCCGCTCTTGCTTAATCCCTGGTCTGTACTGGTGGGCAGGCTTGGGGTCCAAGGCCCGGGTGAATGGCCTCACCGCGGGGGCACTCTCAGCTGCCCATAGAGAACAGACGTAAGCCCCTGTAGTCTGATGGAGCCCGGTTGTCGACCAAAGAGGTGAAGTCTCTTTTGGACTGAGATGGGTGGGCAGCCCTGGGCAAGCTGCAGGTGCGTAGAGGCTCTGTCGCCGTCTTGTGGACGCAGAGGGAAGTGCACCGCTTGCTTTCTTGCTGTGCTTTTAAAAAAAATTTATATTTTAAAAGGACAGATTTATGAAGAGGAGAAAGAAAAAGAATTTTATCTGCACAGTCACAACTGGACAGCACCTTGCTGCCCCGTCTCTTTGCTCAACACAGTCTGGGTCTCCCGTCCGGCAGGAGCTCCTCCCACCGCGTCCCAGCTCCTGAGTCCCCGCAGCCCCAGGGCTGCACGTCCCCCTCAGAGCACTACAGCAGCCCAAGATTTGGAGAAATATGTGTCCGTGTGTTATGTGTCTGAGGGGATGGTGTGTGTTTGGGGAGCAAAGGGCATCACTGAGCATGCAAAGGGCACCCTGATGCCCTCACCCGGTAGCCAGCTGGATTCTGTTTCAGGACACTGACAGCTCACACCTGTCGGTGACCTTGGCTGCTGTCTGGGCCTCAGGTGTTCTGACTTGTCACTCTCACTCTTCTCTATAGGTGAAGAATTTTCACTTGCAGATTAGTGCAGGTCAGGGGGTGTGGCCAGGCTTGTCCACTGAGATGCATTTGACTGGCTGGGTCGCTCAGGCTGTCACAGTGGGGGTCCTACTGGCAGTCAGGGGTTAGCCCCCATGGAGCTAACAGCCTGCACTGAGTGAGAAGGGGCAGCCCAGTGCCAGTGGCCAGGAGGTTGAGGGCCCTGCTGTGCCTGCCCCCAGCTCTCCCAGGAGGGGCCCCCAGCCTGCTGCTCCCCATCTCTGCACTTCCCCCTCCACCCTCCTGCTCCTGCCTCTCTCCTCCAGTCCTGGCCAACCTGTCCTCATTTACTTCACCTCTCCTCACTTCCCTCAGCTCTTCCTCCTGCAGGAGCAGCCCAGGGGGTGACTCGCCACTTCCTGGGGCTCAGGGTGACCTTCCCATCAGCTGACACATGCAGGGGCGCATTGTGCACTGGCTGAGGAGTCCATCGAGGAGAGGTCCACAGCTGGGCATGGGGCAGGGAGGACGGCCGGTGCCCTCGGGCCGACAGGGCTCTGTGGGCTCAGACCCTGTGAGCATCAGCCCTTCTCCTCAACACTCCCGGACACTCCTTTTGTTCCCGGAGGACACACATGCATTTGGCAACAGTTTAGATATATTAATTTCCAGTGAGGCCCAGGAGAGATGGACCAAGTGTAGGCGAATATTTTCAGAGGAATCTATGTGGAGACAGAGAGCAACCGGGTGGAGGTTCTCTTTATTCAGCCCCACAGGGTGGTCCCCAGTGGGTCACAGGCCTGGTCACTCCCCAGGTCACTGCCCACATCCTGGACTCAACAGTCTTTGTCCTGGTTCATCCAGGACTCAGGAGAGAGTTGGGGTTTCCAGAAAACCAGAGGAACCCAACCCTGATCCAGTTTTTGGAACACCCCAGAGCTCAGATCTGGGTCAGATTCTAGTTCTTGACACCCCTCAAGATCTGAGGTCTCAGAGCCTCTAGAAGACCTGAAGGTGGGGTTCTCAGAAATCGCTAAGTAGCCACTTCTGCCCTGGGGTTGATCTGGCAGTAGATGTCCGAGTCCGGGTGTAGCAACTCCTGTAAAACAGGAAGAGGCCTCTAGTCCACATAACCTCAGAACCGGCATTGCATCTTCCGGAACCTGGGCCACCTCTTCGTATGTGGGGCTGGCTCTTCCTGAGAGGAGCTCGCAGGCCCCCACATGCCCAGGCATCAGCTTCCACTGTTTCCTGCTAGAAAGCACACGTACCAAAGCAAGGCGGGGCGCTGGTGCAGAAGCTGGCCCACCGGGCTGGGGGGCAGGACGCGCATCACCCACACTCACCTGGTAGATCGGAGCAGCTGACTGGGTGTCAGATAGGGGGGCCTGGCAGGGCAGAGAGCAAGTGTTAGGGGGCAGAAGGGAGGGTCACTGGTTCTGCCCCAGAGCAGAGTACTTCACGAGGCACCCAGTGCTGGTACTACTGCACCCCCACACTTATGTCAGCCCTGATGATTCCTTACTGCTGACGACTGGGCTTCTGGAGCCCCTAAGATGAATAAGGGGAGCAGGGGGAATCATCCTTTCCGGAAGGTAGATCCAGCCCAGCCAGGCACTGGTCCCGGCCTATGGGGAGCAGGGATCTGTGGGCAGCAGGGCTGGGTCCCACCCCAGCCTGTGCAGAGGGCCCCAGGCAGAAGGGGCGGGGTGGGGGGGTGGACTTACTGAGGAGTCCGCTTGGCCTGAGGGAGAGCCTGGGGGCAGAGACAGGAGTTAGCACCAGGGGAGGAGCCAGGGCCCGTCCTGCAGGGGATCTGGAGTCCTGGACCCCCCCCCCCCATAATAGAGGGGGAGGAGAGTCTGCCAGAGAGAGACCCTCTGCCCATTTAGGGTCACATGAGACCTGGGTGGAGATATCCAACCCAGACCTCTCAAGTAAGGGGTCGCCCGTGCTGAGTGGTTCATGAAAGCATTTCTGAACCTTAGGAGGAAACATCAGGGAGCAGCGGTTACTGGCAGGAGTAGACACAGAACAGGGGCGCTCCAGGGGCCCGACTCTGTGAACACTCACCAGGGGTGGGCGCGGGGAGCCAGTGCACTGGGAGGTCTCGCTTGTCACCTGTCCTAGGAAAGGCCAGATGATCAGTGGGGGAGGGGGGGAAGGTATGGTGTCAGGACAAGGCACAGGAGGGTCCCCTTTCCAGAGAGGTTTGCGGTATGTTCCTCCAGCTACCAGTGTGGAGGGCCCATAATAGAGCTAGAGGAAGGCTAAAGAAGCCGCATCCATCCTGGGCCCGGAGGGTAGGACCTGCAGCTCGTGGGGGTTCAGGAGGAGGTTACCCCAGGAGGACGCAGGACTCAGGAGAGTTATCAGACTGAGGTTGCCTGAGCAGGTCAGGGCCTCCGAGGGAGAGCAGGGCCAAGTGTGTGCAGGAAACTCAGGGAGCCCAGGTATGTGGGTGTCCCTGAATGAGGTGCCCCTCTGTCAGGTTCGCTCAGGCCAGGAGACGCTGAATGTGACAATGGCCTCCCCCTTCTCCATCTGCCTGGGCAAGAGGTACAAGCACATCCCAGGCCTGACCGTCTCACACCTCAGGGGCTGGGGCCACCCTTCTCCCACCTGACAGCATATGACCCCACCTGTCCCGTCCAGGCTCTTCCACCCCTTGTGTGTGACCCGGGCCAGGACACCTCAGATCTGAGGCCGCACAGGCCCCTCACGGGAGGGTGGGCTTAGCCAACAGGGCTGCTGCACTGAGCCCTCTCCCGCCTCCT